AATAAAAAAGAAATTTTATAATAAAAATCCAAACCCAAATGATCCAAGAGAAAGATTGATTCTAAAAAAAAAAAAAAATTAATTAAAAAGCTCCTTCCCACCGAAATCAAAAATACCTTAGAATCTAGAGAAAAAAGAAACCCAAAGAATAACTACAAGAAAGAAAAAAAAAAAAATAAATATTAAAAAATAAAGAAATGAAAAAATCCACTTACTAATCATTAATGACAACTTATCTTCAGAATTTTCTATGGGAACCCATAAAAAAATAACAATTCTCTAAGAGAATTTGTTATTTTGGCAGACCCACTATGGGAACCCATTAAAAATAATGATTTTCTAAGAGAATTTGTTATTTTGGCAGACCCAGTATGAGAACCTGCTAAAAATAATGATTCTTTAAAAGAATTCATTATTTTGGCAGACCCACTATAGAAATCTGCTAAAGATAACGATTCTCTAAGAGAATTCATTATTTTAGCAGACCCATTATGGAAAACTGTTAAAAATAACGATTCTTTAAGAGAATTCATTATTTTGGCAGAACCACTATGGGAAACCGCTAAAGATAATGATTCTCTAAGAGAATTCATTATTTTAGCGAACCTACTATGGGAAACTGTTAAAAAATAATGATTCTCTAAGAGAATTCGTTATTTTGGTAAACCCACTATAGGAACCTGTCAAAAATAACAATTCTCTAAGAGAATTCGTTATTTTGGTAAACTCTCTATGAGAACCTGCTAAATATTACAATTCTCTAAGAAAAAATCATTATTTTGGCGAATTTTCTATGGGAACTCATCAAATTTGATAATTCTCTAAGAGAATTCGTTATTTTGACAGACCTGCTATAGGAACTGGTTAAAAGTAATGATTCTTTAAGAGATAATTGTTATTTTGGTGAATACTGTATGGGAACCCGCCAAATTTGACGATTCTTTAAGAAAAATCATTATTTTGGCGGAATCACTATGAGAACACGTCAAAAATAATGATTCTCTAAGAGAATTCATTATTTTGGCAAAGTCATTATGGAAACCCATCAAAAATAACGATTCTCTAAGAGAAATTGAGAATCATCAATTTTAAATTTTTTATAAATTAAGATTTTTTTTTTTTGTTTTTTTTTTTATACAATTTTTTAAAAATTAAATAAAAATCATGCTAATTTCATTAATTGGTATTAAAAAAACTAAATCTGATTTGACTTTTACAAAAGCAAAACAGATACCAGATTGTTTAATTC